GCCGGGCTGTATCTGTTTACGAGTCCAATAAACGCGTCCCGCCTTGTTGTTAAGCCACGCAATGTCAGAGTGGAATGTGGGCAGGGACGGTACTGCGCACGCACCGGACCTTGCTGATGGTCCAACTGGCGTCGGCAGGGAGCGATTCGAAAGCCGCTTAATCACATATGCCTCCCCGATTTCCAAAGTACCCCAGTAAGCAGTGGTTTAGGAAAGATCAGCTTTGGTTTCACCGATTTTTCTAACCAACCACAATACCGGGGGGCTTTTTTCAATTCGCCGTAGCGATATTGCAGGGGTGGAGCACACACTCACGCTGTTGGCTTTAACCCCGATGGCTTTCGAGGCAACTGGTTAGCCAATTGTCCATATGCAACGGATGCTTTTGCTGTGGTATCCATGGCGCCTGGTGCGCGTTTCTCTCGGCTTCTTTCAAGCACCGCGTGTACATTTAATTGCATATAAAAGACGGCTAGCAACCTATCTGCCTGCTGGTTCACTTACTCGCAACACTGCCAGCAACTGCCCGTGGTTCGGGGTGCTTAGCGTTCTTACTGTCTGCAAATAGCATCAAGGTCTCCTGTCTTTCCTCTCCTTTCCTTTTTTTCTGGGTACGTTGGGGGGTTTTTTTTTCTCGCTAGCGCTTTTCGCCTAGAAATACTGTGCTGTTTTTTAGCGTTATATTGCATTACTTGAGCGCTGAGGATTTATGAAACGGTTCACCCATCACCATGCCTGGAACCAAACGGGAATTGCTGCCCGCCTCAGAGAGCTGGGGTCGCCTTGAACCTGCCATTCCCACCAGCACGAGCTGGGGCGATACTGATGCCTTGGAGAGCGACGGCGATGGCTGGGATGCAGACAACCGTGCCAAAAAGAAACGGCGCCGCCCTGCCTATGACGGTGGTTATTATGATTCAGCAGCTGACGCATGGAACGCAGAAATTGAGTCGTCGTCTACAGCAGTGGCCGAGCCTCGGCACAACCTGTCGTCTCGCGATATTCGGCAGCTATTCTGCGAAATGTGGGACCCTTTTCCTGCTATCAACATGTCGTACATTGTACTGCACTACAAGCACAAGTACGGAAAGGAATTGGTGTTTCCGTACGCCAAGCTAGTAAGTTCTCGACCTACTACCCTGATTTGGTCTGGCCTGTGTCGTGCAACCCATGCCATCCCAATCAAGATGGGCGACAAAAAGGACCTGTGATGCGTTGATCCTGCTTTTATTGTGCACAGTCTTTGTGCAGCAATATTGCGCCATGTAGGGCAGTTGGACTCCGCTACGCTCTCTTACTTTCTCAATGCTACCACCCTGAAGCGGGCGCGTAGCAACTTACTGATGTACATGGGATAATGGCAACGCTTTAACCACCCTTATGTCTCTATGGCGATGGCGGCCATGCCCCATTAATGTGCAATGTGGGCTAGAGCCAAGTCTTTATCTACCTTGTCGCGGGAAAATTTGTGTCCAAAAAAGTGACCAATATTGAATATGTGTTTCGCCAGGATCGGCTATTTGTGGACCCTTGCGAGCAACATCGCAAGCCTGTTTGGTACCACAACCCCAAAACGCTGGAACAGCTGCGCAGGCGCGTCGCCACGCTGGTGCTGCCCGTATCCAAGAATATCAACATGCTTGAACAGGTTTATGCCTTGGTGTACGGGCCCTTGACTACCAAGCTGCAGGTGGAAGGATGCGAGTTTCGCACCATCCGTGAAATTATCACGTATGGCTTGGAAACTGCCGAACACACCTTGAATGGAAACGGTAAGCCTGTGTTTTCCGAACGGTATATGGAGCCGCTGCTGCCATGCGAATACCCAGTTGACCACTCTGTGTCCTCGCACTGCCATTCGTCGACGCCCAAGGACTCCAAGCCTGACAACGGGCCGGCTCTTCGGTCACCACCACTCTCCCCGCTGACCCCTGCAAAGCCAAGCAACGCAGTTAGCCCACCTGTACTAGCAGCTCTGCCACCCAAGGCAAAGGCCACTAGTCCATTGCTGCCTGCGACCAAACCTGCGACCTCTCAGCAAATACGTGATCCACGCCTAGCAGCCCGGGCTCGTCAAAAGCCGCTGGCCCAATTGGTTGACATGTCGGTCGTTTCGAGCAGCGACATTGTGGATCTCCTTAGGGCTAGAACACTTTGTGCAGACGTCAGCTCTACCGCGAACTCGGTTCGCTCTACGCTGTCAGTGACTAGAGACTCTGAAACCAGCGCAGCGCAGTCTTCAAAGACGCTATCAGCAGACCAAGTGGACGCAGCAGTTTGCCAAATTTACCGGTTTATCCAGCAGCTGCCGCACGCCATCGCTTAATATCTGAACGTTTTTTTGTTGTTGTTTATCTCTTACTCACCCGGCACACTGGGCCAAGAAGGCCTTTGGGCAACAGATTTGACGCGAGGATGAAAAAGGTATGGCAGCAAGCTTTGACAAACCGCAGCGAGAATAGGTATGCCTATCCTTGTGCCTGGTCAAATTTATGCCATACCTGTTAATCACCTGGCTCACATCGCTCTCCATTCCCGCTTGCTTAAGGCAGTGAGCTGTTTTGTAAAGCTGCTTGCTACTTGCGCCTTTGTATTTTTATTGGTTAATAGTGGTGCGAGTGCTAAGCCATGTAGCTGCGCTGTTCTGGCTACTGGAATATTCTGCTCGAAATAAATATGGCTGTGAGCAGCAGGTCAATACGGGGGTTAAACATTGACCAAAGAATCACGCATTAAACTGTCCACTAAAATTCGGTGGCTGGCAAACCTCATGACGGCGGATGGGCGGCTTGCTATTGCGAAGTGAGAGCATCAGTAAAAGGTGCCGTAAAACGGCAAACTCTGGAACCTGTCAAAATCAATCTTGTTGAAATAGCCGTGCACTTGGCTCATGTCCATATCCTGCTTTGGCACCCATGGCTGACGCGGTTGGCTTTGCGTGTGAGCGATAATTTCATTTACAAAGAGAGGGAGCTCGCTCATATCCATTTCGGTTTCACTTTTGACGGTCTCCAACAACCCAAGGACCAGGTCGGCGTGCCCACAACGGGCTGCAAGGTACATCAAATTGTCAAAATCGTTCTCATCTAGCGTCCGGAATATTGTGGTCTTTAGCCGCCACAGATATAGAACCAGCTCCAGGCTTCCGTGGAGTGCGGCGGTAAACATTAAATCACTCAGCAGATGTGACCAGATGTATATGTCACGGTCATCTTTTTCATCCAACAACAATCGTTCGCATAGCGCCTGAACAATACAACGCACGGCCTCGTTCTGCCGGGTATGCACCAGATAAGCAAGGGGGTAGTCTTGCGGGGTAGCCACTGGCTGGTGGGGTGCAGCAGCGGGGTTGACGTAACGAGCCAGGTAGGGCTTAATGACATTGTTCCGAAGCATCGCCAGGCTGGCAGTATTGCACTCTTGTAGTAATTGGCGCAGGTTTTCAACATCAGTTGGTGTGAACGTAAACTGGTAAATGTAGGCGAAAAATGCTTGGACCTATGCGTATCCATTGATAGTGTGATCAGCCCATTCAAAGGTGAGGACATTGCCATTATGCACCATTAACGCATAAAGATAATGTAATTAGCACCGCTGGTTGCATAAATATGCCAGGATAAACTATAGCCAGACTCGGTATGCCTCAGAAAAAACACAGGTGCCAGATGCAAGCAGCGTGCTCAAAAGTTGCACCAAAATCCTTGGCACTCGGAATAAATAGTCCCCAGGCCAGGTTGATGGCTAATACTGTATGCCTTACCCTTTGACTGGCCATCTCGGCACCAGTACCCAGCGAGGCCAAATCGGCGATGAGCGAGTCTAGGTTGGAACCATTGGGCAGGGTGACCAACTGTTGACTTGGTACCAGGTCGGGTTGCTGAGTATTTAACGGGCTCGGATACCCATGACCTAGCCTGGCCAGGGCTACGACCAACAAGAGAAGATCCCAGCTGCGCATGGTAGTATCAAAATAGTCTTTGGAAAACTAGCTAAAAAAGGCGTTGTGCACCAGACTATTGCCAACGCATTACTATTGTGATAAAAGAAGAGCAAGAAACCAAAGTAACCAAAGCCAGGTGCGGAACCAAAGTATTTATATTTGGACAGCGCCATTTTTACTGGCCTGAGCTGCCTGTCCTTATTCACCTGGGCCAGTATGGAAAAAAAAGTGGTTGCCATAAATAGACTGCCCTCATATCCAAGTGTCCCGTGCTGACTAGAGACATTGGATGGCATATACAGACTGCTGACATGGGCGGAAAGTGCCGGGTTACACCGCCATGCGGCCAGGTGGTATCGACGTACAAAGGGAGGCAAATGGTCCATTGCTGTGGTCAAGGAGAGCTGGAAGACAAGTTGACGTTCAACAACGATTACACACCTGCCTTTCCAGTGCCGCGTTTGAGGTTTTGGTAAAGAGCTGACCTTGGTGTTGACGGCCGCTCATTGGGTATACCACTGGCGATGGTCTGCCGGATCAGCCAGGTATGCGACGTGGCGCTGGGCATGGCTACGGTGGAGGTACTGCCGGATATTGGTGTCTGCTCCATGCAGTTCTTTGCCTACAGCAGCAGATCAAACGGTGTAACAGCAAGGTGGCTGGGCTATGGGAACTACGTATTGTCTTCAACTTACTGGCACTAGCGCTGGATAATGGTCATAGAGATAGCGCAATCCAGGTAAAGTGTTAAGGTGCTAATCCGAAATTGAAGGAAGCCTTCACAAAAACATAGAGACAAGGCGCGTTGAGGACAGGTCAGGGTGGTGAAATTCGCTGCTCCAATCATCTGAGCCCATTGGGTCAAGCACACCACCAAACACCTGCGAGAGGTGGTGCAAGACAGGTGGTCAAATACAAAGGTGCCTTTTATTAATGAGAGAAATGGTGTTCAATATTTTAACCAATAGTCAGCTCCAATGCAAAACCAATAAAAAAAGCACGTAGTTGTGCCAATCATTAGCTATAGTATAAAATTCGCATTGGGTATATTTTTACCGGCGGTTGTGTGGTGTAAGCGGTTATCACAGTGGACTTTGAATCCACTAATCCGAGTTCGAGTCTCGGCACGACCTTTTGCTTCGTAATTTTTTTGCGGAGTTTTTTTCTGGTTGGGGTTCTCTCCGCTCTTTTGTTTTTAAATGGTGCTCTCGCGCGGGTATTACTACTGGAATTTAAGGATGAAATAAATATATCTTCACCGGACATCTCTGTTAGCTATGACTACTGGCGTCGCTCAACATTTAGTACGCATTCTTTTGGCACATATTCATTTTTTTTGTTTCAAAGGCAGTTGCGCGGTGGGTGTGCTAATTGACCCTGCTTGCGCCCGGTGATGCTGCTCCTGTCGTTGGCCGCTATGACTGCCACCCCCAACCAATGTTCCGTTAACTCGCACACCAGGGCCTTGACGTATCTGGCCGTGGCTGTGCCTGCCATGTGTCACCAATGGCACTGTAGACCAGTCGGTACAATATCAGCCACCCGTTGGCAGATCAGGTAGGCTGCAGGACTAGTCCCTTTGGGCGTCCTGCCAGCATTCTCTTAATGGGTCTATAGAAACCCCATTCTTCTTCCACGACCCAACGGCTGTCCCACCAATGAGCCTAAAGCGCTTGAAAAAGGGGGTTATATTAATTTCTGCAGTGCCTTCTGGCCAACCTAAAGTGTGCATGCCTTTAGCCCTGTTCGACACACACACACA